ATAGGAATAGTTAGGCTATAATATAGTTTTTAGTGTGTAAAAGTAGGTGTATTTTTTTTTGCTGTAAATAGTTTTTATATCGTAGATCAAAACTTGATATAATTCTATATTTATAGTATTTATATTTGTATTAAACGATTTATCAATTTGAAAATAACCTTAATTAAGTTAATATTCGTTGTTTAAGTTTCATTAGATATGCTTTTATATATGGTTTTTTGTAAGTTTGAGTTTTGTTCATAAATGATGTGGCATTTTTATCTACGGCGTCATCGACTGTGGGAATCCATTCGTCGGAGTCTGGAATCGGTGGTGAGGAATGTTTTCAAGGAAATTATAGTAGTTATTAAAACGTAAGAGAAATTATATATTCATTTACTAATAACGAAAATAATTAATTTTTGTTGTTTTATTTTATCTCACATACAAATTTTTTGAAAATATATATTAGGAAATATGTGCAATGATTTAGCTTTTGAACTCCTAATCTATATTATTCAACCCTCATTAAGCCATCCACGTATGCACCCGCGTGGAATTCACTTTTTTTTTTGTTTTTTTTTTGTCTGTTCGTTTTTAGATTTATTTATTATTATTTTTGGGTTGAGTTATATTATAATAGGATAATTTTAACCGCGTAGGCAACCACGTGAGACTTGTTTTTTTTGTTTTTTGTTTTATTATTCGTTTTCGATTCATTTTTAACTATTTTGGGTTTGAACTTATTAATGTTTAGGGTTTATACAACTATTTTGATCTTTAAAACAATAAGCCCAAAAAAAAAACATAAGAACCTTATAAACAAAAAGCCCATATGATAATAACCTATATAAAAAAAAATCAAAAATACATGATAGCTGCGTGGTTCGAACCCACAATCTTGCATACTTAACTAGACACCTTATACCACTTGGCTAAAGTGTATTTCATTGTTTGTAACCATCTTACCAAGACTATGTGTGTTTAAAAAATATTTTTATGATGATAACATTAATTGGTTTATGCATGACAGAAGTGGGAATTGAACCCATGTCCTTGGAGACCAGACATGGGGTCTTAGACCACTTGACTAAACTGATATTCTTTGTTTGTAACCATTTTAAAACAACTATCTATTTTAATATAAAAATGTGGGACCCACAATCTGCCTATGTGGACACCTTAAGAAGTCTTTAAACTGAATCATTATAATATAGATTAGCATATGTCACTTTTCATTACGGTGTTTTAGACAGAAGATAACATATGTTAACGGAATTAAAATTGAAGATTTATTTCGTAAGATTTTTAGTTGATGGGCTTTTTTATAATTTATATTTAGTTGAGAGGTACTATAGAAAATTAAAAAAATGAAAAACCGATACGTTTATTCGTATCAAATAACATACGCACATTTGAACATCTCAAGTCCAAGCTATGGCTTATGATGATGCCACTAATTATTTCAAACTGCAAGCTAATTTTTTTGAATCAGTTCTTTAATATTTTAAAGTTAGTGTAGATAAATAAAATGTACAAAAAAAGATTTTTGTTTCCTATAAATAATATTTCTTTGGGATTCCGAAAAGAGCAACCAGATTTTTTTCTACAACAAATCAGGAAGTAATAAGAAAGAATAAAGGGAAGAAAATAAAATCATGAAAAGAAAGAATAAAAGGAAGAAAATAAAATCATGAGATATCATGCATTTAAACAGTTACAGTTTATAGAAGAGAATATGTAGGTAGGTAATTAATTCAGAACATAATGTAAAGGCTGGACAACACATATATATATATATATATATAAAAGTACATTCCAATGCTCTTAGATTCATCTTCCTTCAAATCAATCTTTTATCACAAAAGCTAGATAGATAAAAGAAAAT